TGTATGGCCTTCTGATAAAAATGTTTCAATTTGGGGGCTCTCTGTGTACTTGCAAACTTTCAAGCTGCTGCTAACATACATCCATTTAAATCTCTAAGCATAGAAAAAGCACATAACCTTTTAAAGGAACCACGCAATGCTCTCCCCACTCCTTGCATTTTACAAACACCAAATTCTAACTTCCTTCCTCCCAATCCACAAGTACTCTACCCAATTTCGCAACACTGCCTACCCCTGATGCCCATTCATTCCCTCGCTATCCACCTCCCCTTAAAAATATTCAAAGACCCTGCTGCAAGCACCTTTTCAGGGAGAGAGTTCCAAAGACCCATACATGTCTATTTCGCTTCGTCTCTATTTTAAATGAGTGACCCCTGATTTTTAAATTGAACCCTCATTCTAGATTCTCCCTTAAGAGGAAATATCCTTGCCACATCTACACTATCACAACCCCTTAGGGTCTTAAATGTTTCAATCAACTCAGCTCTGACTTGTCTAAACTCAAGTGGATATAAGCTGAACCCATCCAAACTTTCCTCGTAAGAATCCCATCTACACCCCCACCCCAATTCCAGATATTAGTTTATTAGACCTTCACTAACATCTATCTGTAAATAAGGTGATCAAAACTGTACATTGTACTCCAGATGTGGCCCCAGCAGTCCCCTGTATAACTGAAGCATAACATCTTTACTTTTACATTCAATTCCCTTCACAACGAACGATAACGTTCTATTAGCTTTCCTGATTACTTGCTGTATGTTCGTACCAACCTTTTGCAATTCACACATGAGGACATACAGATCCCTCTGCATCTCAGAACAATCTCTCAACATTTAGACAATTATTCTTCCTGCCAAAATGGACAATTTCACATTTTCCCACATTATACTCCATATGCCACATCTTTGCTCACCTCGGTTAGTCTATTGATATCTTTTCTAGAGATAGTAGGAACTACAGATGCTGGAGAATCCGAGACAACAAGATGCAGAGCTGGATGAACACAGCAGGCCAAGCAGCATCATAGGAGCAGGAAGGCTGACGTTTCGGGCCTAGACCCTTCATCAGAAATGGGGGAGGGGAAGGGGGTTCTGAAATAAATAGGGAGAGAGGGGGAGGCGGATAGAAGATGGATAGAGGAGAAGATAGGTGCAGAGGAAACAGACAGGTCGAAGAGGCGGGGATGGAGCCAGTAAAGGTGAGTGTAGGTGGGGAGTTAGGGAGGAGATAGGTCAGTCCAGGGAGAATGTAGATATTGTCATGGTTGGGGCCAAATTGGGAAGGCCTGAATGTGGACTGTAGTCCATTGGGGATGATCTGGTTCCGTAGGCAGGTACTAAGAAAGGTGATGTGGCTGTAATTCCTTTATATAAATTGTAAACTATTGACGTCCCAGCACAGACCTCTGGAGATCCCTGCTTGTCACACATTGCCAATCTCAAAAAGACCCATTTATACCTAATCCATGCTGCCTGTTAGATAGCCATTCTTCCAGCCATGACAATATACTGCCCACTACACCATCAGCTATTATTTTCTACAATAACCTTTGGAGTGACACCTTATGAAATAGCTCTGAAAATCCGATTACAGTACATCCACCAGTTTCCCTTAGTCCACAGTACATGTTACCTTCTCAAAAGACTCATAAATTGGTCAAATATGTTTTCCTTTCACAAAATCATGTTGACCTTGCTTGATTACCTAGAAATTATCCAAATGTCCTGCTATAACTTCTTTTAGAATAGCTTCATACATTTTCCCTATGGCAGATTGTAAGCTAACTGGCCTGAAACTTAGTACTTTTTGCTTCTCTGTTTTTTTTGTGACATTTGCTGTCTTCCAGTCTAATGGGGCCATTCCTGAATAAAGGAAGTTTGGAAAATTAAATCCAGTGTGTCAACTATCTCACTGGCCTTTGTCATAAGACCCTCGGATGAAGACCATCAGGCGCCAGGCACTTCCAACAAATTACTCAGTACCAATTGTGATTTTCCTGAGTTCCTCCCTCCCTTACATTTCCCAATTTATCATTGCATCTGGGATGTTAATTGTATCCTGTATAGTTAGGACTAATCAAAATACCTGTGCAATTCAGCTGCCATTTACTTGTTTTCCATTAATAATTTTCCAGTCTCATTTTCTATCGGGCTAGTGCTCACTTTGTTAACACTTCTTTGTTAAATATTTATAGAAACTCATACTATTTGTTTTTGTGTTTCTGGCTAGCTTTCTCTCGCCATCTAATTTTTCCAGTTTGTCATGGGACTTCACTTGGCCACTACTCAGGAACTTAGATTTCTCTCCCCTCTCACTCCCGCCTCTGATTCTCATTGTGGTATTGACAGTTCTGATTGAATATAACCTGAGATTGCTTCCCACACAAAACCACTTCTTTTCTCATTTTAACAATTGTTTTCTACAAAGCTTTTGTGCAAATTTCATGCTGTATTACTCTGACTGTATGAAAAAGTGGAGGAGGAAAACACTTTCTTTATAACGGTCCAATGAATTTTCATCTAAAATTTGGCATACTTGTCTTTGTCCTGATGACAGCAAGACATAAAGCTTTAAAAACACGGCTTTCTGTTCAGCAACACAGACTTTCTGCTGGATTTCTTGTGCCTAAGAGGTTCCTCTTTAATTTTTATGGACTGCGGGACAATCCTGGAGAATTAGTGGCACTACAGCTGACATTGCAAGCACATGGTTTATTTGGGGACAGATAGGTTCACTTTTGTTTTTTTTAAATTGGAGGGAGATTGAATGAATTGGGGGAGGGGTTGTCATCTTCCCAAATTGAATTCTCCCATTGTATTCTGTGTTTTAGACACCCCTCGCTTCAGTTCCCTAAAACCAACAAGTTGGGGTTTGCATTCAAGGTCACCGTTGAGACATCTCATTAACAGTCACCTTGAGGCACTCACCTCTATCCCCACAACCTGACATTTTCCCCTGGCAGTTGACAGAAGTGCAGTCTGAATGGAGAACTATTCAAACCATGTTAACTCCCCACACCACAATTGTCTGCCTCTGCCATCCTTTTGGATGCCATATATCAGTGCCAACCTGTTTCCTGGCTTCAGAGAGGCACTGTGCAGCCCAGAGGTTGTCAGCTTGCTTAGAAAAGATTGGCAACCAACTTTACAATAATCTCTTTTTAATATATTATTCACTTTCTGAATGTAGGTGTTTCTGGTAAATCTATTGCGCCAATCTAGTTCCTCTTGAGAAGGTGGCACCACCTTGATAGAAGTGAGGGACTTGCTAGGCCACTGCCCACAAAACCTTTCCCAGTGTTTTCCTGCCTCAGACTTTATGCGATCCCAGAGTGAAAATTTGGGGGAATGGGCTGTATGAGAGCTGTTGAGTAGTGGGGGTGGCAGAGGACCGGGTGGGCTAACGGGGGCTAAGCATCGGGGAAGTTAATGTTAACTATGTGGTTTGACCAGACAGAAAAATGAGTACCCACCTTTCCACACACATGGTTTATGCAGCTGCAATCAGGCCTTGAGAGAACAATCAATTAGGCCGCACCATTACCAGAAAGAAATGTGAGGATTTAAAGGAGCCTAACAGATTTCAGAGATCAGTCTGAGCTCCATGCCACCATTGCTGCGTCAGAGCTAGCAAGCTTCAAATCTAGGGAAGCTCTGCATCACCTTGTGCTAGATTACCTCAGGTTAAGTTGAGCCTCAGTTGAGTGGGACTGGAGGCCCTCAAAGGGGCCAGACCAACTATGGGTATGTTTCCGACCTGAAATGAATCAGTTGAGTTTTGACACCAGTCCAACATCTTTCTGGTCATGGGTGTTGATGTCAGCTTCTTATTTATGGTCCTTGAAAGCATACTTGAAATTCTGAAACTGTTGCAGTGAGATTTGATCTTACAGTCTCTGGGTTACTGGTCCTGGTGACGTTACCGAATTACAACAGTTTTGTTTTATTCACTCACGGGTTGTGTGTGTCTCTGACTAAGGCAGCAATTTATTGCCCGTCCCTAAGTGCCCACAGGACCGTTAAGTGTCAACCACATTGCTGTGGGTCTGGAGTAGGTCAGACCAGGCAAGGATGGCAATTTCCTTCCCCAAAGGACATCAGTGAACCAGATGTTTTTTTTTTCCCTGACAATCACCAATGGATTCATAGTCATCATTAGAATCTTAATTCCATATTGTTTATTGAATTCATATTCCTCCATCTGCTGTGGCAGGACTTGAACCCAGCTTCCCCAGAACTTCTGAGGAAGGGCCACCGGACCCAAAACATTAACTCTATTTTTTCCTTCACAGATGCTGCCAGACCTGCTGAGCTTTTCCAGCAATTTTGTTTTTGTTCCTGATTTACAGCATCCGCAGTTCTTTCTGTTTTTATTTTGTGTTTCTTCCAACTTTTTAAAAATATGTTCATTCACAGGATGTGTGCATTGTGGCTGCGCCCATCCCTAATTGCCCCTTAATAAGGTGGTGGTGAGCAGCCTTCCTGAGTCCCTGCATGGTGTTAGGGAGCATGTTTCACCCAGTAACACTGAAGGAACGGTGATATATCTCCAAGTCAGAACGCTGAGGGACTTGGAGGGGAATTTGCATGTGATAATGCTCCCATGTACCTACTGCCTTAATCCTTCCAGGTGATAGAGGACATGGGTTTGAAAGGTACTGTCGAAGGAGCCTTGATGTGTAGATGGTACATACTGCTCCAACTGAGGGTGCTGGAAGGAGTGAATGTTTATGGACGCGGTGCCGGTAAAACAGGCTGCTTTGTCCTGGATGGTGTCAAGCTTCTTGAATGTTATTACAGCTGCATCCATCCAGGCAAGTGGGGAGTATTCCATCACACTCCTGAAATGAGCCCTGTGGATGGTGGATAGGCTTTGAGAAGTCAGGAGGCGAGTTATTTACCTGAGAATTCCCAGTCTCTGTCCAACTCTTGGTGTTAATCCTTCATGTCAGCAACATGAATGGGGCTCCTTTTAATAATTACCAAGACTCAACTAAATGTTAACAAAATTCTTTTAATCTTCTTTGAAGTTCTTAATAATGCAATATATATATATACTATATATATAAAAAGCTTGAGGTAAAACATGGAAAACTTTGCACCAGGGAGATTTTTAGGATAGAAATCTGTTTGCAAAATATACATGAAGTACTTTTAACTACCCTGGCTTCAGTATAAACAGCAAGTGCTGGCGAAACTCAGCAGGTCTGGAAGCATCTGTGGAGAGCGAAACAAAAACAGTTTATGTTTTGAGTCTGGATGTGGGATTTGATCATAACTGACCAAGGATCATCGGACTCAAGACGTTAATTCTGTCTTTGTGTCTCTCTACAGATGCTGCCACATTGGCTGAGTTTCTCTGGCACTTTCTGATTTCTTTTTGTGTCACAGATCCCCCAGCACCTGCAGTTGTTTGCTTTACTTTGGAACATTTCCCTGTGTCAAAGGCGCTATGTAAATGCATATCGTTGATGAGTTGCCAGGCAGCTCCTCTCTGTGTTCTTTACTCCAGCCAACCCTATGTCAAAGGCCCTATGTAAATGATGAAGCACCAGGCAGCCTCTCTATGTGTTCTTTACCCTGCCCAAATCCTACGTCAAAGTGATTTCTCTGCCCAGATTCTGCTAGACCCGCTGAGCCTTTCCAGCAATTTCCATTTTTTTGTTGCCTATGTCAAAGGCGCTATATAAATGCATGTTGTTGACAAGGTGCCAGGCAGCCTCTCTCTCCGTGTTCTTTAGTATATATCTCGCCGTTAGTCACTGATGAGTCATTATGGTGACAGCAGACAAGTGGATGGTGTTAGAATTGTGTCTGGACAAGCCCTACCCCCCCCCCCCCCCCCAACCCCCACCCCCACCCCCCCGCCCACTGCTCTGGCCCCCTCCCTCACACGAAGTGGACCGCTCTGTCCTCGATGCTCTGCCGCTGGCGGGACACATGCAACATCCTCTCGATGTTCCTCTGCTTCTCTCCCGGCCCTGCCATGTGCTCTCGACACACATTGTTCGACTGGTTTGAGTTCAGTTCAGCATTAACCATGGGCTGCTGCTGCCGTTCATCCTCCAGCTCTCCCGGTCGTTCCGGGGCTTCAGCCTCTTCCGGATACTCCGGGCTTGCCTTCTCCCCCTCGGCGCCGGCCTCACCAGGGGCCTTGCTGCCGTCCACCCGCCTTCTGTCCTGCAGCTTGGACACCAGTCGGGCCGTGCCTACGGTCATCTCGAAGTGCTTGTGTTTGCCGCCCGAGCGTCGCAGGGTGCTGCCGTCCGGTGATGAGCTCCGGCTGGAGCCGGCCGCTCTCCTCTCTGTGTCCGGGGTCACTGCCGCCGCTGCCGCCGCTGCCGTCACCACGCCGCCACCGGGGGCAGCCCGGGCATTCTCCTTATCCCCCAGCACAGCTGCTGAGGGCAGGCCGGCTGTGATGATAGGGAGTGCCGAGGGCTTGGGGATGATGGCCCGTGTCTTGGCCTGGCCGTACCGCTGGTACTTGCCTGGCTGCCTGCTGAAATTGCATCGCGGTAACGTGGGTTCAGCGCTGCCGTCGCTTTCCCAGTCCTGGCCGTCCAGAGAGTGCGAATCCTCGGATACCCGCCTCGCTGTCTCCACCAGGCCTGAGGCTGAAAGGAGTGGGAAGGATTGGGAAAAAGAAAATAACAAAAATACATTAGTAACAGATCTTCAGAGGCGAGGACCTCTGAGGGATAAAATTGGCCCACATTGGTCACACAGGGTGAGATGATGAAGGTGGGTATGAGAGCGAGATACAGTTACAGCCTCTCTATTTTTCCTGGATCCTCTCAGATCTAGGATTAACTTTGTTTTGCTAACTGCTTTGAGGATCTGAATATGCCTGGCAGATTCAGATCCTCAACGCAGTTGGCAAAACAAGGGCAGATTTTAATTATTTTGCTCATTTTTCCACCCTTCATTGGCCTTTCCAAATGCTCACAAAATCCTCCCGCTTTCATTCAACAATCCATGTGACTTGGGCAGAGATTACATGAGGTGGAACCCATTGACTTCCTCACTTAAAGGTAACACTAGTCCAAAAGATTGTCTGCCTGGATGTTGCCCTTAGAGGTGGTATGGTTAGCTATGATATTGAATGGCAGAACAGACTCGATGGACCAAACGGTCTATTCTATCCCTGTTCCTTATTTCTATGTTTCTAGCATTTATGCCGTCACTGCTGAAAATTCACTGGTTCCACCACTGGCCAAGGCTTGTAACCCTCAGCATGGTGTCAGTTTTAGAAATGCAGGTCTCTCTAAAGGTAAAACTAAAACAGCACCAGGTTTGACTGCAAGCAGGTGATGCTCATGGAATTCTGCATTTCCCTTTTCAATTATTTAGAGTCATAGTCATACATCACGGAAACAGATTCTTCAGTCTAACTTTCCAGGCTAATCAGGTTTCCTAAACTGAACTAGTCCCATTTGCCTGCGTTTGGCCTAGATCCCACTAAACCTTTCCTTTCCATGGACCTGTCCAAAATGTCTTTAGTTTGAGAAACTTGTTGGTGTTCTTATGGTGGCGCTTCAGCCCCAAGATTCTGATCTTTGGGCACCCAGTCTGGGAGGATGGGTTTGGGCAGGCATGTTGGAGGGTCTCCTCAAGGACCACCTTCTGGCCCTGGCTAAAGCAGCTATCAACTTGTCCAGGCAGCGGGCTGTGGAGAGGTCATAAATCTGCCTGCCTGCCTATCTTCTGTGGCTGTATACATGTCAGGTTGTCCTTGAAAAGGGAGCATGTGCTGTTCACCAGCACCATCAAGGCTTCTAGAGAGTGCTGGGCACTGTGGAGACTGGGCTACATCATTTAATTCCACCATTTCCGTTTTGATTTAGCCTTTCCCTCTTTTCCTGCCTTCTTTTGATTTCTGTGATTGTCACATTGCCCCCAGTGAGCTGAGGTTATTTGTTATTTAGTAAATTGGGTGACTTGGTGATGAGTTCTTAAAATACACAAGGGATGGGTTCAAGCCCCTGATGGGCAGTGCTTGTAACTGGGAGTTAGGTGTTTAGTTTAATTGGTGGTGGGTTTTTGAAATAATAAGAAAGAGGGTTTTGCCTGTTGCGACACAGCGATAATATCCCTGCCTCTGGACCAGAGGTTCGAGTTCAAGTCCCATCTGCTGCACAGCTGTGCCATAACATGTCAGTACAGGCTGGCCTTCAAAAAAAGGAAACAAAGATTGTTTTGTGGGGGTCTTCTTGGCACAGTGGTAGCACCCCTGCCTCTGAGCAAGGATGCCAGGATTTAAGTCCTATCAGCCCCAGATACACCACTACACATGCGGACAGGTTGATTAAAATAATTAAAACTATGATTGTTAAGAGGTTGAATAAAAGACATGGGTTCAAATGTTTGTTAATTCGGTGATAGGTTTATTTTGTGAAGAAAAGTTCATCCCCAATGTGAGGTTTGTTTCCAGACAGGGAAGGGTTCTAAGAGGGAAAAGTGGAAACTGGTGTCTACAGACTTACAAATAAAATCCTTGTAAATTTCAAATTCTTCAACTGCCTAATGTAACATATGGATACTGGTCTGTTAAACACAAGGGATCCCTTACCCAGGCCTTGTTAGTCTTTCAAAAGGAAAGGTCAACCACTCCCTGACCCAGGTCTCCAATGACCCTGCTGCCCTGGATGATCTGAATGATGCACTTACAATCTTGGTGACTAAACCTGACACAAACATGATTGGTACCACCTGGCATAACTCCCTTTCCTCAAGATGGAATATCCAAGACTGACTCCCAACCCATGCCAGATATTTGCCCTGCTCCATGCATCATTGAGAGCATCAAAATGGGATAAGCACCAACAGCTCAGATGACATTTGAACTTTTAAGCCATGGACTTAATCCACTTTATTACTTTGTTTGTTCGCACATGTAGTAATAGTCCAACAGGTTTATTTGAAGTTACAAGCTTTCGGAACGCTGCTCCTTCATCAGTTGAAGTCCACTGTCCACTGGTGTGGTGTGACTTCCGACTTTGTCCACCCCAGTCTAACACCGACACCTCCACATCATTCACACACGTACGCATCCCACTTACCTGTCATGTCGCTGCTTCCAGAGCTCTCTCTCCGTTGGTCCCTTGTATCATCGAGGGCTTCATTTGATGACGATTTGTCCGAAACATATCCTTCGCTCGAATTTCTTTTCAAAACCAGACTCTGCAACAGGACAGACTGGACAGTAAGCACACAGTAGCCAGCAAGACCTACCATCCAAAAATCCCCCTGCATCAACTATTTTCACTGAGGCAAACAGAATGGGGAGGTCTGTTCCAGCCAGTGCCAAGTTACAAGCTGGGGCAGCTACGTTCATTCACAGCTTCAAGTGAAGGAAGTCACATTCTAGATGGTAACTCCTTGCTCCCTACAACAGGAAGCCAGTTCGACAACAGAAATTGAGAGTCACTTGGCCATCAATTCCCTTGTGGCCATATGTCCAGTCAGCATTCTCTGGGAGGATGGATTCTTAAAAAAAAAATGGATGCAGGACAACTGGATATCTCTGGTTAGACCAGCATTTATTGTCTATCCCTAATTCCCCATGAGGAGGTGGTGATGAGCCACCACGACAATCTTTGGGGTGAAGGTACACCCACAGTGATCTAAGGCAGGGGGTTTCCAGGAATTTGACCCAGCAACAGTGAAGGAAAAAAGATTTAGTTTCTGTCAGTTTGGTGAGCGGCTCGGAGGGAAACTCGCAGGTTGTTTTTTTTTTCTCTGGTGTCCTTGTCCTTCCAAGTTGTAGAGATTGCAGGTTTGGAAGGTGCTGACTAAGGACCCTGAGTTGCGTCTGTTAAACAGCAGCTGGTCTATCTGCATTTAAAACATTTTTTGCTATGGCCTTCTTTTCTATTATGAGTGTCTGAAGATTTGTTTAAAAGATTATCATTTTCTTGCAAGAGTTCTGATCTTACTGAGTGTTTTTTTTAAAATTATGCACTGTTGGTTTTATGAAAGTCCAAGGCATTTTCAGTCAGTCAAAGCACAGTGAGAACATCCTTTGGGAGGAGTGTATGGGGGAAACAAAGAAGAAAGGTAATCATTATGTTCAGTATTTCATTTTGAGGTTAATTCATTGAAAGTTATGGGAGTGTTGCTTGAGGAGGAAAAGGGACAAATCTGGAATGTATATTTATACAGCGCCTTCTGACAAGGCTCAAAGCACCTCTGATGCTTCACAGCCAGCATGCTCCAGTCACCATCATAGAGGCAGCCATCTTATACTCAGCAAGCTCCTGCAAACAGCAGTCAGACAAAGACAGTCTGTTTTTCTTGGAACAGAGACAACAAGGTGCAGGGCTGGATGAACACAGCAGGCCAAGCAGCATCATAGGAGCAG